TAGGAATAATATTAGGTAGTTGAATAGAAGAGTATTACGAGGTAAAATTTAAAAATTTATAAAAAAAAACCCCTTAGGTTTGCTAATTTAACTAAACACCCCAATATATAAAATTTTATAAAATGATAAAAACACCCCCACCCACCCATAGTGCCAGATTCCGACCACCATGGCCAGAATCCAGCCGAAAAATGGTGTTACGATGCAGAGCGGTCTAATCTGGCGGGTAGGGCATCGATATGACCTTTTTCGATCAGGTCCCAAATCTACGGCAGAAAAGTCTAGATTTGGCCGATGGCCATTTCTTTAGCCGTCAGATCTGGCCTTTTCCGACCAGATCCACTATGGATTTGGCCGAAAAAGGCCAGATTGATGAATTACTGGCTAGTTCCGGTCGTTTGTAGGCCGTTGTAACAGAAATTTGGCAAGTATGGGTGGGTGGAGGTGTTTTTGTTAATTTTTAAACTTTTTTTTCTAGGGGTATTTAATGAAATTAATAAACTTAAGGGGTCTAAAAGTAATTAAAAAAATATACTAATATTTCTCAAATAACAAAACAAACAAGTATTTTGAGAATAGGGTTGAGAATATGGGTAAAAATAATGTGCCAAGCGGAGCCGATATTATCCTCTAGAATTCATCAAAATTTCATCGAACTTAAAACAAACAGTGATTTTCTCAATTACACATCCATTTAAATACCATAAAAAAAAAAAAAGAGCGAGAGAGAATTCGATGGATCTTAAACGTTCAAGTAGTCCATGTCGACGTGAGCGATGATTGTGGCATCAGAAGATTGTGGTTTTGCCACTGGATTTTCTTTTCCCTCCAATTTCTTTGACGAAATAAAGCGAGAGAGAATGGGAAAGAACTCCCTTCTATTCTTTTGTATTAAGAGTACGTTTGGTTTAAAAAATATTGTATTATTGGGAATATTGTTATATTATTGGAAAGATAGATTATTAGGAAATTTTCAAAGAAATATGTTTGGTTGGTTGGGATAAATTGATGGGTATGTTATAATAATATGTTTGATTAGAAGGATAAATGAGTGGATATATTATGTATATTACTAAATTACCCTCATTTTTAAATAATAATATAATATCTATTATTTTTAAATTATTTCTTTTAACCCCCATATTTGAAATTTTGCTAAAAAACTCTAGTTATATAAAACTTTAATTTGTAACAAAATCACCCCCACTCACCTCAAGCCACTACTTGTAGCCAGTCACAACCGCCGGCAGCTGCCATAATGGTGCATGACCGGCCGGATCTAGTTGGTCGTGCGCGGGTAAGGCCTAAAGATCCATGGAAAAAAAACGGTTAGATTTGGCCGTGGTTTTGGCCGTGAAATGACTACATCTGGTCGTTTCCGGCCATGGATCACAATTCCATGGTCGGAAACGTCCTTACCGATACACGATTGACAAGATCTCACTGGTCTTGCATCGATATGATAACTTTCGCCAATGGCCAGCGGTGGTGGCTAGTTGCCGGCGGTGATCTTGGGTGACTAGAGGTATTTTGTTAATTTTAAACTTTTTTGCAACTGGGGTGTTTTAGCCAAATTCTCAAATGTAAGGGGTCTGGGTTAATTGTTATTCGGTAGACATATGAGAGCAAATGTGTCCAAAATGATAAAAGATTAAGGGTAAAATAAGGTCAAAATTAAGATTAATTTGGTAATCTTATATTAAAACCTTTAGGAAGGTAATCTGATTACCCCCAATATTACCAACAATAAACACTGTTTACAATAAAAGATTACATAATATTTTATTCTTTGACAACCAAGCGAGGGAATTTTGAAAATTAAATAAAGATTACAAGATTAATCTTATGTCACCCCCGAACCAAATGCAACCTAAGGGTATTTTACATTACCTCCTCTAAGGTTTGAGTAAGTAAATGTTACCCCGTATTTTTTAAAATATTAAGTTTATTCCTCGTTAAATCTCATAATTTTTACAAAGACACCCCTGAGTTTCTCAAAACCTACCCCCAATAAAAAAAAAAATTCAAAATTTAAAAAAAAAACAAAACATAAACATAGATAAAAATCATAATTAAACAAAAAATACATTAACAAAGACAGAAAAGAAAACAAATAGAAAAAAAATTAAAAAAAACAACAAATAAACAATAAAAAAAAAAACAAAAAAAAAAAAAAAAACATAAATTAAAAAACAAATTTAAAATAAATATACCTCTTCCTTCAAAACATAACCCAGTCCCACACTCCATTCTAACTAGCACCGACTTCCTCAAAGACCCAAGTCTATCAAAAATGACGTCTTAACCCTTAGGACCTCCACTATTTACGCCATCAAGCCCCTCAACAGAATCTCCAATACCCAGGACGAAGAAACTCCTCAAACGTGGGTGGTCACAGTCCAAGAGTCCAACTCACGTAGAGTCCGAATCCTTGACCCAATGCCAAGTGAAGATTTTAAAAACTTTTTAAATTGCTTTTGCTTTTAGAAAATGATATAAGATAAATTAAAATGACAAAAATATTTTTTTAAATAAGTTTTTTCGTTAAAATATATTAAAAATAATTTTTAAAATATAAAAATAAAAAATTGGTCAGCAAGGTATCTTCGAATATGGCCAGACATCGTCACCGAAAGCGCATCCAACGACACCGCCCACTCCATTAAGTAGACCTCCAGCCTATCTATTAAGTAGACCTCCAGCCTATCTACCTAGTGGAGTAGACACAGCAGTCAAAAGCTTCAGTGTTTCGCCGCATCTATCAATAGCTATGATTGCTTCATTGAGTAGATCGATCCACGATCTATCCAATGGAGTGGGCAGTGTTGTTAGACATGCCTCCGATGATGGCATTCGGCTACTGTCAGCAGTTGACATCTGGCCGACATCTTACTAACCAGTTCTAAACTTTTTAAATATTTTTATTATATTATTCATTTAATTGAAAAGTTATTTACTAAAAAATTAATTTAAGATAACCTAGGGTGTTTTTTGTTATTGACCATTTCAAAAGTAGCTTTTGAATTATAAAAGCTACAAATATCTGCTTTTGGATTCAATAAAATAAATTATTTCATAATTAGCTTATTGTATAATCATCTTTCAGATTAGTTTACCAACCACTTTTTGGATTATAAATTATGAAATAAATGATCATTGAAGAAGCTACAGCAACCTCAAATTCAATCTTAGAAGGAAGAGATGCTATGGTCCAATTGTCCAAATTTAGAAACTAGCAAGTGTTTGATTTATTACTTCGAAACTTTTAGGGGTTTATTGTAATTACACCTCTAAGAGGTGCAAAATTATACAGGGTAATATTACTGCATAAGAAAGTAATAATAATAATAAATGGATGTTGACGTAAAACTCAACATACAGGTTAACTTAGGTCTAGAAACGAGCACCGCTGCTCGCAATCTGTTCGGGCTCCGAGTAACTCATGGGTCGAGTCGAGTCAAGTTCAAGGCTACTAATATTCGACTCGAGTAGCTAATGAGCTTAATCAAGCTCCACATATTTTATAATATTTTAATTTTATATATATATATAATTAAAAATTAAAAATTTTGACTTGATTACAACCGAGTTGAGCTCGAGCTCAATTTTGACTCAGTTGTAATCCAGTCGAGCTCAAGCCGTTCATATATCAAAAAGCGGTAGTCCCATGTAGTAGTCTTGCTTTTTTATAAGACAAAGGAGTAGAAAAATTGATAAGAAGGAATTGCAGCTTAACTTGCTCATTGCTCTCTTAGTCCACAAGACTATGGTCTGTGATCCTCCTTCAGTAGAGGTTGCTGGCCAAGTATATCAACCGTACTTCTGTTCTAGTTTAGGTCCATGGTGGTTGACAAGTACTTTGAACCTTTGGGACCCATATACAAGCTTAGGTCTACCTCAAGGCACCAACCTATGGTTCATTGAGTATTCAATAAGTTGGACGAGCTGATTTGACGGGCCCTGGTTGCTCATCCACATAGGAATTATTAGTTTTGAGCTCGTTAAAATAAATTCCCTTGTTATTCTCTCTCAATTTTTTTTGAAATTGTGTCAAGACTCTTGAAGATTCAAAGGATGTTTAATGGTTTTCTAGAGATGGAATTAGCAGATTTAAGACACTATTATTTTTCCCATTAAGCTGAATCACGATAATTTTAAAATTTTATTTTTATTTGACCTCTTATTCATTAAGTGTTACACTTTGACCCCTTTTAAATTTACTTTTAATTTTTTTTAATTTTTTAAATTGATTAATTTTTCATAGTTTGATCTTCCTCCCTTTTCTTAACATTACTCTTTAAATACATTCAAGCCTCAAAATTTTATATAAATAATCATTTATTTAGTCCCTTTAAACATTGAAAAGAGATTTCAAAAAAAAAAAAAATAAAATAAATAATCTTAACGATGTTTTTTTTTTTTCACGTTTATTGTTAGTATAAATGAACACTTTTTTTTTTTCTTTTTTCAATAGTTATATGTACATTTATTTTATATATATTTACTAAAATTAAAATATAATTAATTATTAAGTTAATCAATAATATAATTAGTTTAAATATAATTTTAAATTTGTAAAAATATTTTACGGAGTAAAATTATAAATATCTATTTGGGTTAGTATGCATCCAACATCACTTTAAAAATAACAATGCTGAACACATATAACTAAAAAATTTCAAAAAACATAACTTAAAAAAAAATCTTTCCAAACGCTATTCACAACTTATTATTTTGACATCACAATAAAAAGCTTAAGGTTTAATTAAATAACAAAAATCTTTTTAAAGTTTCTAAAATATCGAAAATCTCAATATTGTTACGGTTTAGGTGTTAAAATAAACCTCAAAGAATAAGTCTATAAATATCTATGAACTCATAATAGTGTAAGTTTTAATAAGTCATTAAAGATTTATAGTATCTATAGAATACAAATAAGATGCTAATATTTCATTATCTAATAGTACGTAACTTCAACATTTTCACTTTGACTTGTCTCATTACTTGGTCGAGGACACCTTTGCTTGTCTGCAGAAAAGGCCAGGCCGATAGGTGTAAATGAACAAGTGCCATATGAGGGAAAATTGTGAAGCCATAAAAAAGAGCATGAGCGAACAGGCTGATACGCCCACTAAACCAAGCATCACATATGCCTTTTTCTCATAGAAAATCTGATAAACAGTGGTGCCAAACGCTACCATCATTGATGTGATGGAGATGAACATGATAACAACTCCCAATATGAACTTTCTGGGAAGGGTCTCAAGAAAATCATCTTGTTTGTAGCGTGCAGTGATGATGGACATGAATATTATGGCGGCCGCAATCGATGAGAACAAGGAGAGTGCATCTGAAAACCCAAATGTCATGAACACACTCAATTTATCGTAGCCACTAGTTCCACTGAATGCTGCTTGAAAAACTAGTGTGGCAGTCACCGTTGCAGCTACTATGCATGAGGTCGCTGCTTCCTTCATCCATTTCTCACCTTCTATAACAAGTTTCTTATGGGACTTATGGAATACCACTTCTGGAGTTTCTCCTACGTAATTTATTTCGTTTTTGCAGTCAGCAGGTACAATGTTCTCTACTTCCTGTATAACATATACTTCGTAATTACAAAATAACATAAATATATATGAAAGAACAGAAATAACGAAAATGTATATGAAAACCAAAACAATGTCTTCTAAGTTAGAAGGACCTAAGCGTCGTAAACTGAATCCTAGACTCATTCGGTAGTACTGTAAAAGTAGGATGTGACAACTAACTTGAACATGGTCCAAAACATATCTACTTGGTTAAGAGGACTCAATTCTTGTAAGCTGAATCTAAGGCTCATTCACTGGTAATGTAGGATGTCTTTTTAAACTGAATCCCAAACTCATTGGCTAGCAATATAGGATGTAATAATTGACTTGAACATCAAAGAGTTGCGCCTATATTCCTTCTAAATTGAAAAGTCATGCTAATCACCCTACCTAAAAGCTTAATTTTGTAGGTGAGAAGCTAAATATTATATCCCACATTTAGAGTGAATTTACTACATTGCTACTTTTGTTACAGATAGGTGATGGACAAGATATAATAAGATTAGACTATAAATTAATTATGTGTAACGAAGCTCAGATTTCATTAACGAGCTAAACTAATTTAACATCTTAAATATAAACTTTATATATATGTGTGTGTGTATGTTTCAAATCAATCTTAGTTTTCACTCCCCCAGACGTCGTGCTGTAGTGCAAAAAGCAACTATTTTAATGTTTATGTCAGAACTCTTACCTTATACCACTGTAACTCACGCTGCATTTGAAAAGCTGCACCAGCAATGACATTTAGTTTATTTTCAGGAGCTAGCTTTCCAGCTAAGTGTAATATATTGTTCTTGTCGACATCTTGAGACCTCAATAACAAATGTTTGCGACCCCCAATTTCGTATATAAGGTGTAATACATTCTCTTGACGATTCATGACTGCCAAATGTAATACATTATGATTTTTTTCATTTGTAAACCAGATTGCATCAGGATATGCGTTTATAATCTCTTTCACGACCTCACAAACCCCCAACTCTGCCGCTAAAAGGAGCGGTCGTTTCAGTATTGAGGAAATTCTTTCATCAGAATCTGGATCCCTTGTAATTACCTTGCACAAACATCTGACAAGTTCAAGTACTATGGGATGCATCGACTTTGTCTCTCGAATTTCCTTTAAATGACTTGGAACTGCGAATGAATTCATAACAAACTCAACAATGACATAACTATATAACAGCCGAGGAAAATATTGTAAGTAAAAAGAATATTTTAGAGTTTTATACCAAAGCGTTCAAGAATCCGCTGAAGCAGCTGGTTTGCTGTATGGCAAAACAAATGAACTGATTAATATCCATTGAAACGAACGTAAAATTAAATGTGTGAATACTGCCACAATAATTAACTTAACAGGGGAAAATTATCAAAGCCACAAGAATGTTTGTTGCCTTTTTATTTTTGATGTCAAATATTAAGTACCCTTTGAAAAATCTTGGGATCTAAAATTGAGATGTTTTGTATACAAAGCACTTATTGTATATATTTATACTAATACTAAAATAAGTCAATAAAATATTTTTAATCTCTTTAAACGAATGAGTAGATCTAATCTTGTCGAAATCCAATGACAAAAGCTTTTTATACAAGCTACTGTAGGAATAATCAACTGTTTAACAATTGGGTTTCTCATATCAATCTCTTTTTCCCAATCATGCGTTAATCTAAAATTTCCTAGTTCTTTTTAGACTATTAATCTTTCATAGTCCTTATGAATTTTAGTTAATTCAATAGGATGTTCTTGAAGTTGAATTACATTTTCTTCACTAAGAATGTTTTCATTTCATTTCTACATTAAGTATGAAAGTTCACATTTCATTTTTATGTTATGTGTATGCAAACTCCAAGCCAGCCAATTGAAAATTGAAGTTGAATCAGACCTATCTTGGTTTTGCACTCATTGTAATATTCTAGTCAGGGTCTAAAATCTTACTGGATTTCATTAGGGAAAAGAAAATTGAATGACGTTGAGCCGTTGAGTGTAGGTCGGTTATTTCTTTCTTTATTCTAAACAGTAGATATTACCGAACAATTTATGATCTGATATCCAGTCACTCTCAATGCGCTCTTAAAAAACTATTTTGATTACCGATCTGATATCGAAAATATTAATGACATAGTATGTAGGCTGAATTACGAATAAATTATATTATAAGTGCTTTTAGTTTTGTTTTGAGGGTCAACCTTAAATTTATACCTGGAAATTTTATATTAATTAGTAACATTTTAACTTTTAAAGCTTCTAAATGAGGGTTAATTATCTAGATATAAATATGATTAAAAATAAATAAATAATGCAAATTAAATTTAGATCATGATACCTAACAAAAAAAATTGTTCCATAGTATTTCTGTCTTACTGTAAACAAATGAACTAGTTTTTGCTCTAACTTGAAATGTTCAATGATTTTGCCATTTTGGACCTCAATCATGCTATGGGACCGGGCCGGGATTGGGGGTAAAAAATCCCAGCTTGGCTTGGCATTACCCACCATCCCGGTAACGGGGCCGGGCTAGGACGGGCCATGGTCATGGGGATGGGCCCAGGCCCTGGCAAAGGAGTCCCCTGTCCCGGTCCGGCCTATTGAGGTAAAGTTTAATGAACAAGGGGGACAAAGAACAGATATGAAATTTAAGGGATAAAAAACAATTCTAAAAAAAATCTAAAATTTTGGGTCTGGGTTGGGCATGGCCCCGAGGCCCAAGGCCAGGTTTCATTGGTTAGGTGTATTACAAGTTTACAAAGAAGATGCATATAAATTTATTTACATTTGTGGAATATTACTCCAAAAATATTGGGAGATTATCATAGATTATCTTTTAAGGTTTTCAAATTATCATTCAGATCAAATGTGGTCATCCTAGTAATAAATTTAGAAACCTTAATAATATTATTGCTTATAAATACATGATGAGTGAAGAGAAATTTGTATATCTAGCTAGCAACAAAAATAGAAGAAAACGAACGCATAAACAGCAGAGATATTTATTAGATAATGAATAATTATGTGAGAATTATATACTCACGATTATCAATGTCCAGATATCCCCAAAACTTTGGGTTTCTTCGTCTTCCGCTTGGAAATGCAGACGGCTTTCCTGCTATTGCACTCAAAAGAGACTCACCAGTAGATAAAGGCACTGTAGCTAAACTTTTGTATCCCTTAAGGAAGTCTAGTGCCAAGTCTGAAACATAATAATAGACAGGAATTTAGGATTATTAATTTCAAACTTCAACATGAAGAAAATAGCAAAAGATATAATTGGATGCTTAAGTATATGTGCTTTGATATTTACTTGGAATCAGCTATTCTTATTTAGCAATAGTATTTCTAAAAAGAGAAAGAAAGAATTAACTCACCATAAAATCCAGCAGTTATTAGCAATTTTACCAAAGAAACGTCAGAATCATCCCTAAAGCGTGTTGACGTAGCATAGGTAAAATATCTGTGGCTGAATTGCATTAAATATCTGACCATCTCTTTTTGGCCATGTCGAGCAGCCTCAATCAAAGGTATCCTGCCAGATTTGTTTGGAGCCGTAAATAATTCACGACGTTTATCTTCTTTCATTATCATTTGGGCTGCTTCTTTGTTGCCAACAATTGCAGCAACAGAAAGGATCGTGTTGCCCTCTTTATTTTCCTGTGAAAGTTGTGTCACCTTAGTCAATAGATACTCCACAATATTATTCCTCTTGTTTGTCCCAACAGCTACATGAAGAGCTGTGTCTAAGTTTACCGAGATCCTCGCTTCTAATGCATATATATTGTTTTGACAGAAATCTTGTACAGATTCCAGATCGCCTTTGAGTATAGCTTTATAAAATGGCAGGTATTTGTTGCAATTTTCTGCAGTAAAAACAAAAGATAATTTTCGTACTTGTTTTTATTTGGTTTATTGGATTATTTACTTCTAAATTTATTTTGTCGACTACTTACCCCTATCCTGATCTGATGCTGCGGTAGACTGATGAAGAAGAGGGGACTAATTAGCTGTGACGAAGAAGAGGGGATAAACGTTATTAATGGAGAAGAGATTACAGTTTGACAGTGTGTACCTGTGGATTGCCTTGGAACTCTGCTTTCAAAGCGTCCCATGCGTCTTTCGCTGTCATAGCTCCAGAAATTTTTGAAAAAATATTATCATCCACGGCTTGTTGAAGTATGAAAAGTGCCTCCGCATTTTGCCGTCGACTTCTGTTCAACTGCTTCTGTTCGCGCTTAGACAGATCAGAAAGCTTCCCAGAAATAGGAATTCCGTCGTTAACAATGTTCCATAAGGTTTGGGACAAAAAATGTGTCTTCATCTTAGTACTCCATATATCATATTTTTCTCCACTAAAGATCGGCATAGGAACAGCAAGTGGATTTGAATTTTTTTCGGCCATGACAAGGGATTCACGGTTTAGTATTGAACCCTACTCGCATACAGAGATGGAAATTTAAAGGGATAAAAGCGGTGGAACGAAGATTTATTTTATGAGAAATGCTACGGTTATCGACGGGTGTGCACCGAATTTGTGCACCGAATGACGTGGCACAATCCTGACCGTTGATTTATTATCAGTAAATATTAATTAACGGTCAAGATTTTATCACGTCATTAGGTGCACAAATTCGGTGTAAACTTTTCTATAACTCTATCATTTTCCTTATTTTATTACTGTACAACTTAAACAATCATAAACTGAAATACTAAAATTTATTAATTGAAAAAAAAAAGAAGCAAAATTTAATTAATTGTATCTTTTCATTTGATACCTTTGTTAATTTTATTCTTTTACAAATTTTCGCATCTTAAGGACATATTAGATATTTTCTTGTTTTTAAAGTTCTTGAATTATAAAAACACTTGAAGCATCATAAATAGACCCGATTCCATC